AAATATAAAAACACAAAATTTATATTCAATTAGTACAAGTTATGAGCACTTATATGATATAACAATTGTCTAATTGTCTAACAAGATACATTAACTAACTAAAGTTACTAACTAACTAACTTTACATAAATATTATATAATTTAAAGTTTGATACTTGGCAATAATAAAACATTAACATTATGCACTTTTACAAAATATAATACTGTACAATAAATGTTGTATATAAATGCATGTATTTTCTTTGTTAGTACATAAATAGAAATTATTATTATCATTAAAATTGGAAATTTTGTATTATTAATCAAGTTTGTATCTAATTAGTTGAACAATTAAGTTGGTTACACATTTATTTCTATACTAATATTTATACTGTACGATATGTTGGTTAAAGCGTTCAATTATTATTATTTGAGTAGTTCTGCTTTTAACAAAAAATTTAATATTTAGTTTAATAAATTTAACAATAAAATTAAATGCCAAAAGAATATGAAATATGAATTACAAATCAAATACAAAAAATCCGGGTAGAAAAGGATATTGCTAAAATATTTATTCAAATATTGCATTACCTGTTCATAAAATAATTGTTTTCGTCGGCATAATAAAAGTTATCACTAAAAAACATGATTAAAAAATCATAAACTACTTTAAATTCATGAAAGTTGTCGTGAGAATTATGCAGATTTGAATAATCAGTACTTTTATTTTTTCATTTGACATTGTTTAAGTGAAGTTGCTTTTTTGCCGGATTAAAATAACCTGATTAAGGTTATTCGAAATATCTGCCGACAATTAATATTATACTTGTATATTATATGTTAACTACATGTTTATCTCAAGCATTACATGATTAGATACACGGATTCAAACGGTATTTATCCATAAATAAGGATATAAAAGTCATATAAAGTAAAATACATTGTGAAAATCATTATATTGTAGAAAAATTTAATAAATATTTAATTGTGTCTCTTAAAGTTCTTCAAAACAATTTATTTATTAATAATAATTTTTACATTAATTTAATATATAATTAATAACTAATAAACCCTAAAAAGTATCATGTTAATTATTAACAAATCATTGGTTTCGGGAGAGGTATTTAGTTGGGGCCACAAATCGATCGAGATTTTTACACAGAGATTGCAAGCATTTGTATTCAATACAATTGCAAAGCGTATAAATTATAGCGATATTGACAACGAGTCCGATATAATGGACCCGACGTACAGTTGTTATATAATTGGTAACAAATGTGCTCGTGGTAAATTGTTCTCATGATTCACCTCGAGATCTTAAACCGTCAAATATAACATCACCATGGCGGTTCTGTAAACTCTGCGATTTAAATGCGCAGCTCATTTCAATCATCATCATTTACATAAAGTGGCACCGGTATCGTAAAACTTGATTTTTTTAATCACCTTAATTATTTAGCACAATGTAAGTTTGTTGTAATGCTTTTATTTTAATATTTATGTTATTTAATAAATGTATTAATTTTGCATATTTAGATAGTAAACGTGGTCGAAATATTTGAAACAAATTAAACGACCATGGTTGTTTTATTGAATTAATGTAGACACTGGTGAACTGTTGGACACATATATAAATAAAGATCCGGAACATTGCCACTATTTTACAAAATATATGCAAATTTTAAAATATAATAAACCCATTAATGTAAATTAAATAATTTAATACAAATGTTTTATCATAAATTTTGATTAATACTTAAAACAAATAAATATTTTACACATTTTTCAAAATACATTTTAATCGATTGATTATTTTGAAACAATCTTTTCAACAATAAATACAATTAAACAAAAGGCCATAGACTTGAGCATTAAAAGCAACACATTGTTGATCACAATATATTTGATGGCAATGTTGTCAACATCTTCATCGGTGTCATCGCTTCCAGACATGTGTTTCTTTGGCTCCCGATATGTGTCTAAAAGATAGTTTCCATACAATATAACACTCAGTTTGTACTGCACTTCACACTCAGCACTGATACCCGATTCTACCATAATCTGAATGCTTTAAATACAAAAAATAATAAAAACCAATTATTAAATAAAATTGTTTAACAAAATTATTTACATTTTGAGTAACATTTGTCTTGATTTGGTGTAATTGTTATTAATAGGAAAAGCCATTAAAGCGGAAAAATATTTTTCGTTACCAATATTCAAATCAAACATTTTGTTTGTATTTTGTCGATAGAAAATCGACTCAAAATAACTCATATAAACGTATCGCTTATTTCCAACGTTTCGCATTAAATCCTAAATTAATAATCAGAATTAAAAGTATAAAATACAATAAATTCAACCATGATTACTTTAGTGATTTGATTAGTAGGATCACCCTCTGGTTCCGTATATATAATTCGGGTCTCTCTTTGCAATTGAACCAAACTTTCTGATAAATAAAAGTCTCTGTTATTATAGTTATATAATTGCCACCAAATGTAGGACTGATTGGCAACGACTGCCTTATAGTCTGAATCCACTAATTCTTGCATTGAATTAATGGTAGAAATCTGTCGATCGATTAGAGACGAGAAAATACCACAACTGAACACAAATGAAATAATTAGTGCCATAAAAGACCACATTATAATCAATTGTGATTTTTGTCTCTCAAGAGTTGCCTCATTTATTAAATGGGATATTGTTTTAATTAACCAATATAGAAATGATCGATTATGACCTGGGTTAATTATAAATATTAAATACTTATTATAATTTAATGCATCATGGAAGTTTTAATTAAATAACCTTTTATACAACACTCCATATAACGTATGAGTGATATTAAGATAATAGCAACCAAAATATTTATCCAAACGCCAGCCGTAAATATATTGAAAATTGTGGCCAATTGTGGTTGATTTGCATAAAATGCACTCAATATTACCATATTATAAGTATCTTTATGCCACTGTCCAATTGCATAATTATACAACCATCCGTCAATTGTCCATGGTATTAGCGCACAATCTGTTTGCTTTATATTAAACATAAACAATTAAGAATATATTATTAATAAGTTAAATACTAAATATGTTTTACGTTACTCCGCATAGAGTTATAGAAAATTATAAGCGAATTTTATTTATTTTGAATAAAATTTACTTAAACCAAACAATTCATGTTTGCATATTAAAGTGTAAATGCATACAACTACATTACTGTACTTTATATTACTGTATTAATTTGATTATATACCGGATTATCTGTCATATATTGATGTGCGTTAATATACTCGTTAAACACTTTGAGAGTTATATTAAATTTGGCGAAAACACCACTCGATAACGATTGGATGAGTCTCTCTTCAAATAGACATATTTCCTATTAAAACAATTTAGATAATTATATAAATTAGTAAAATATCTAGATTTGTATACCTTGTTGATTGCAATAATAATAAGCGTTAGATTACTGTTGTGATCGCCCAAATAATTATCTCCCAGAGAATAATGTCCACATTTTCTTATATAAGAGCTCATTCTCGGATTGAGTTATAAACTTTTTACTATTACGTTTAACATTAAATAGTATGATTAAATTTAGTGCATTCGGGCAAACAGACAATATATATAGTAAATAATTAGATGTATAAATCATATTTACATAAACTGTATGCTAAACATACATATTTGTATATTGAAATTATTATATTATGTACAATACATTTGTGTAAAATAAATTACTGAATATATTGTATTCATATTACATAGATTAGAATTTAAGATTTATTGTATACGGTTGTTTATTTTAATTATAAAGTTTTGTACTATATATTCGCTTTTAATTTATCATTAAAACAAATTATTCCAATAAGGTTACATGAAATTATATGAAATTATACGAGCTAAATTTGCACCAAAATGATGTTTAACGGTGCAATAGTTCTATTAGTAAACAACATAAAATATAAATGTTAATTAATTCAATAATAATTAAATGTTCAATGCCTATTTGTAAACGTTTGTGTCAGTAAACTTTTTTGTGAACCAGTAATGGTGTTATACAAGATGTGTATTAATAGTAATAATTGTACTAATAGTGAATATCTTGCATAGACTATCAATATTAACATACAGTTTGAATTAAATTTATCTTGTAAATAATAAATAGACTCATTTATAATAATAGCTAATTAAATTTATGGAAATACACCTAAATGATTAGGTTGATTAAATGTACTAGAACGACCATTCACTATTAATTATATTACATACATAATATACAGATTTAATTATAATTGTAAGGATTTAATTAAGCAAATTACTTTTATTTACAAATGATATTCACATCATATGATATTTATTTCACAATATAGGAGAATAAACATTTGTGTACAAGAAATAAATAAGAAATATTAAAAAATTATTTCAAAAAAATATAAAAATTGTATATAACACATTCCAAGTAGTGACAACATTTACATATGCAAATGTACGTATAACTACTTACAAGTTAGAAATTTACAAAGAAATGTTCTATATTTTCATGGTACATTATTTGCATATTGTGTACCTAAGGTAATGTGTTTATTATTCCTAATACAGACATAGATCATAATAAATTATAGCAATAATGTTTTCTATACATCAGAGTTACCACAATTTTATAGTTTAATAAGAAATATCACAAAAACAAACTACTGATAGAACAAAATGGAGACAAAACACGTACACAGAGTACTAAAAATAAGTTTCCGGTTATTATGTTTGTGCGGATTTCTATACCACTCGTACACTATATGTTTGACATACTTCTCATACCAGACCATTACAAACGTCGCCTACGAGTCCAAATCAATGAGGCAACTGCCGGGGCTAACCCTATGCCTCGATAAATTTGCCTTGGTCAATAATGCTCAAAAGGATCCACCTGGATTTTCGGGATACTATAACTCTAACACCAGCGCACTCGATAAAATCAAGTTTAATAACAAGTCGATCGGTGAGTAATTTGAAATGTTAAACACGTTTGACAAGATTGGGGGTTGCACTTTGCCTAACTATGGTAAAAACCGCACACAACCACCCGGTGCTCACTGTCACGCTTTGGCTCCTTACCAACACTCGATGGACGCCTACCACTACTGCGCGACCATATTCTCTCAATGGTCGGGCGGTATGGCACCGGACAAGTACCGGGTGGACAGTCGACGTGGCAGCAATTATATGGTGGTAATTGAGTTAAACCGGTCGTTCATTGGCGGTAAATATCTACTATTTAAAGCGCACTCGAGATACGAACACTTATACAGTGCGTTCACCAAAGGGTTTATATACGTCAACCCCAACAACAGTGATGTCTCTATATTCCGATTCCGCACAACTGTTGTCAAACACGAGCCGCTCATTAGATTATCGGCCGGTAAATGCTTTACCGGACAGACGAGGGATGAGTGTCGGGTCAGGTGTCATATAGACGAAGCGTTATCGCGGTATTCGCGGCTAATCCCGTCGTATCTGTCCTACGAGTCCAATAATCATAGCCTGTATTTTGATAATTATATCAATTCTAGTGATTTTGACGACCTGTGCGATAGTCGCTGCGATGAACGGGTAGATTGTGTCCAACGTTTCTACTCCATTGAGTACAACACGGAGAGGACACCCGACCCGTTGACCTATTATACAATTGTGGTGGAGTTCCCCTCCGAGCCGACCACTGTCTATGAGGTAATCCGTAAAATGCCATTTGCAGAGTTCCTGTGCCTATTGGGCAGTATATCCAGCCTTTGGTTTGGTTTCTCTCTGCTATTATTGACCAGATTTTGCGAAAAAATGTTTCCCAAAGTTAATGTTTTTCAAAGGTTTTTCACTAAAAATATTGTTAATAATTATCGTAAGCCAAATGTGTTTGTAATGAATGTTAAACCAAAGGCTGTTTATGGCAATTATTTTAAACGTGTTAACAAATAATTTTATATTCATGTATTATGTAAAACTTTAATTAAATCTTATGAAGCAATAAACAAAATGTTATTCAAAACGCATTTACATACTGTGAACCCAACTTGATATATTCATTATTTTAATATAACATAAATCAAAATAAATTATAACTATTATTTTATGTTTAATTCATTTATAAATTTTTTATAAGAAATATCGTAAAAACAAATTAATGACAGAACAAAATGGAGACAAAACACATACAAAGAGCACTAAAAATAAGTTTCCGGTTATTATGTTTGTGCGGATTTCTATACCACTCGTACACTATATGTTTGACATACTTCTCATACCAAACCATTACAAACGTCGCCTACGAGTCTAAATCAATGAGACAACTGCCGGGGTTGACACTATGCCTCGACAAATTTGCCTTGATCAATAATGCTCAAAAGGATACCTCTAGATTTTTGGGACACTCTAGCTCTTACACCAACGCACTCGATAGGATCAAGTTTAATAACAAGTCAATTGGTGAGCAATTTGAAATGTTAAACACGTTTGACAAGATTGGGGGTTGCACTTTGCCTAACTATGGTAGAAACCGTACGCAACCAGTCGGCGCCGAATGTCGCGTACTGTCCCCTTACCAGCACTCAATGGACACTCAAAACTACTGCGTGACTATATTCTCGCAATGGTCGGGCGGTATGGCACCGGACAAGTACCGGGTGAACAGTCGAAGGGGCAGCACTGTTATGGCGGGCATTGTCATAAACCGGTCGCTCATTGGCAACAATTATCTGCTATTTAAAGCCCACCCGAGACACGAGCACTTGTATCAGGTGTACACAAAAGGGTTGATTTACTTGAACCCTAACAACAGTGATGTCTGTATAGTACGGTTTCGCAAAACTCTGGTCAAACACGAGTGGCTCATCAAATCGTCACCCGATAAATGCTTTGTCGGACTGACACGCGATGAGTGTCTGATCAGGTGTCGGATAGAGGAAGGTTTGGCCCGGTATTCAACACTGTCTCCATTGTATCTGTCCTACGAGTCCGGTAACCATAGCTTGTATTTCGCTAATTATATCAATTCTAGCGATTTTGACGATCTGTGCGATAGTCGATGTGACGATCGGGTTGAGTGCGTCCAATATTTTTACTCCATTGAGTACAACACAGAGAGGGCACCGAATCTGGCGGACGGTTACGCAATTGTGGTGGAGTTCCCCTCCGAGCCGACCACTGTCTATGAGATTATCCGTAAAATGCCATTTGAAGAGTTCCTGTGCCTATTGGGCAGTATATCCAGCCTTTGGTTCGGTTTCTCTCTGCTATTGTTGACCAGATTTTGTGAGAAAATGTTTCCTAAAGTTAATGTTTTTCAAAGGTTTTTTACCAAAAATATTGTTCATAAAAATAAAGCTAATTATCGTAATGTGTTTGTAATGAATGTTAAACCAAAAGCTATTTATGGCAATTATTTTAAACGTGTTAACAAATAATTTTGTAATCATTTATTGTATTAAATATAAAACTTTAATTAAAACCTGTCTATTAATTATTTATTTATCTAATTTGGAAAGTTTTAAAGCATTAAAACATTAATAGACATATTGAGTGAAAAATATTTTAAACAAAAATATACATGTTAAGTTTACAAACTTATAATTTCAATATTATGGCATATGTTATCAATAAATCGTGCCGTACTGTTAACATCGATCTCAATTTGATGCCAGTATTGATCGTCAATCGTTTGATTTGCCATTAATTCACTTTCAATACCCTTTAGATACCGAAGATTTTGTCCCAAACCCTCCGCTTCGAGACCTGTTATGTTATAGTGAAGACACTCTTCACTCCTGTCCACCAAATAATGGCAAATATTTATTATGTGTTCTCGTATTTCGTCCGGAATGGCTGTGTTTTAATTGTTAATAAATAAAATTGATCAAGGTAGTTTTGTAAATTTATTCACCATAAATTGTAGCCGCAAATAATAGAATAGTAAATTGTATAATATTCATGGTAAGATTAAAATTGTTTAATATGTTTAAATTTAGTTTAATTTAGATTAATGTGTAATATATTTTATTTATGAGCTACATTTGTGAGAAAATTGGCATATGGTTATATAATAAGTTAATCGTTTAATTGGTTTTGTTATCATTGTTTAAAATTTTGTAATCAATTATTTGTGAGCATTTAAGAGTACAGTAGAAGCAAACATTAATGCAAAATTAATACCATGACATAATTATAAGCAATCCATTATAGTGATTGACAGTCACAAAACAGCAACGAGAGAGAGAGAGAGAGAGAGAGAGAGAGTTAAAAAACCTTTGAAAAACATTAACTTTAGGAAACATTTTCTCACAAAATCTGGTCAATAATAGCAGAGAGAGAGAGAGAGGGTTTATATAAATCAATAGATTATTAATAATAAATTATAAATAACAATTTTGTAACAAATTAAATAAGTTGCAATTAGTTTAATTGCTAAGACATTTTAATTTATACTTAAAATTTTAGTTTACGAAATTTACTTTAATATTTAATTAATTAAGAATTATTTTCTAATAATAAAGTCACTAATGAATTACAAAATATAGTCTTCTAATGTAATTCTAACTAATGATAAAACTAATGAGATTTTACTGCAATTTCATATTTATTATAAATCTTATGAAATAACTATTTTATATAACTATTATACAACTATTGAATATTTATAACATAATGTTATTTGTAAATCTGACATTTATTACATATTAAAACGATATATTTGTCGCCACAACAACACCTCAAACAAAGCAAATCAATACAAACATTATATTTTAGTAACTCATAATATTTAATGTAAATTAATCATGACGAATTTGATATTAATAGAAAAATATTACGTGCATTAGTTTATTATAAAAATTTCATATACAGAATATTCTTTACATTAGTTTACACAATAGTAGATTTAAAACAAACTAATATAAACAGTATTCACTGTTTATAACTGTATACAAACAAATATTCTTTAAACATCATTTTATTGCAAACAGAATATTCTGTATAACATTTAAAATGAAAGAATTTGGTCAACAAATAAAATGATGGACAATTGTGTCACACTTACCACCGACCAAAGTGTCACCGATTGGGCCTTCAATGCCACGAAGAAACCACTGGAAGCGCTTATGTCTGTATATCCGCCACTATTGACATACAATGAATGGGAGACAGTTTCTGGTGACAACACGTCTGTCCTATACTATCAATATTGCGGTCCATTTATATTACTGTTGCGGACATTGTCCTCATATATCGATACAAAGTAATACTAAATCTAATTAATGTTTAATTAACAAAAATTATAATTAGTTTATTAATTAATAAACACTTGTTTTTTTTGTAAAAGTTTTGTAATCAAAGCCCACCAGAAAGAAAGGATCGTTGACTTATCGACGGCGTTGACCTCCGATATCATTGTCTATCCGGTGACGAGTGCTTCAAATTATTTACAACATATGGGCTATGAATTGTCCACAACTATTGGATCAGTTATGGGAGACATGTTTATTAGTAAACCTATATTCTGTATGCAATTAAAAATTTCAAAATCAATTAATTAGAGCACACTTTTTACAAAATATAAAACAATTAATTATAATCATAAATATAGATGAGAGGCCGGTGTTTGACTTTCTCACTGACTGCTGGGACGAAGAGATATACTATTGGATCCTATTATCAGTGCTGGTCTTCAGTCTAGTTCTTGGCCTCAAATACCAGTCGACGGGAAAATTCATAGAAAACATTTGGCACTTTTCAACGATACTTCTGTCCGATTACATGCCATTCCGCGGCCGACGACTAGTAGTCAGTGACCGCCGATTTGTGGGCCCGTGGCTTATAGTGTGCGCCATTCTGTTGCCCGCGTACTCGCGAGTTATGTACTGGAAAATCATCGGCGGTGACCATCACTATGGGGTCGGTGTCGACAATCTGTGGCAACTGTACGCACAGCCCGAATGGCAAAACTCAAAGATCTTTGTGGTGGACACGGATCCGTTCGTCACACCCGACTATTACCGCAAGGATTTAATGCCCGTCAGAGTAATGGCCAACAGAGTCGACTATATCGACGGCATTGACATGTATTTCAATACATCACTGTTTTGGGATATGTTTGATAGAGTGGTCGCCCAAAACGCTGTCATCAAAATTGACAGACTCTTTGGTCATCACCTGCTGGCCAGCGCCCGATTGGCCTATCGTTATGTTCGTAATGTTGACTATACTATGGCTGACAGTTGGTTGAAATCACGGGATTATCGCCTGGCAGTGGGCGATGCAATCCCTACTTATATATTCAACTGGATGTAAGTGTTTTACCATAATGTTTACGCCATTATTACATTATTACAATTATTTGTAACACAGAATCGGAAGAATGAAAGAGAGCGGTGTCTTTGATCGGCAAGTGATCCAAAGCTCAATGATGTACGGCTTCGGACCAAACGTATACGACAATGATGTCGCCGGTGGTGATGGAAATGTGAACAAGGTGATCACTTTGGATCAGATGATGGGTGTGTTTTGGCTGTTCGGGTTGGGTGTGGCCGTCTCTATCGGCGCACAATTTACCGAATTCATCGCACGCCTAATATTTCCATCTGCGCCCATCCACAAGGTCAATTATCATCTATGTTTATAGCAACCAAATTACTAAAAATATCTAGATTAATAATGTAAATATAACCTATTTTGCTATATTAGATAACACCAAAAGTTATGTACTCAGAGACGGCTACTGTCCATCAGGACAGCGATCCCATGGGTGTGGACAGAGTACGGGCCCATTCGGCGCCATCGCATCCCCACCACAACCACTCATACGCTTTCGTACGGACAGAAGAGCCGCCAAAAACTGCTCCTCATTATTAAGTGTTTCATTTGGGAACCATTTTCAACGAGTTTGTAATTTGTGTATTAATTTATTCATTCATAAATAAATGTAATTTATAAAACGCATAGTTTATATATTGTTATATATGGTTAATAACAACACCATAGTATAACATGTTAGACTAAAATTATATTAACTAGTGTAATAATTTTTATAAATACANAATTGAGATCGATGTTAACAGTACGGCACGATTTATTGATAACATATGCCATAATATTGAAATTATAAGTTTGTAAACTTAACATGTATATTTTTGTTTAAAATATTTTTCACTCAATATGTCTATTAATGTTTTAATGCTTTAAAACTTTCCAAATTAGATAAATAAATAATTAATAGACAGGTTTTAATTAAAGTTTTATATTTAATACAATAAATGATTACAAAATTATTTGTTAACACGTTTAAAATAATTGCCATAAATAGCTTTTGGTTTAACATTCATTACAAACACATTACGATAATTAGCTTTATTTTTATGAACAATATTTTTGGTAAAAAACCTTTGAAAAACATTAACTTTAGGAAACATTTTCTCACAAAATCTGGTCAATAATAGCAGAGAGAAACCGAACCAAAGGCTGGATATACTGCCCAATAGGCACAGGAACTCTTCAAATGGCATTTTACGGATGATCTCATAGACAGTGGTCGGCTCGGAAGGGAACTCCACCACAATTGCGTAACCGTCCGCCAGATTCGGTGCCCTCTCTGTGTTGTACTCAATGGAGTAAAAATATTGGACGCACTCAACCCGATCGTCACATCGACTATCGCACAGGTCGTCAAAATCGGTAGAATTGATATAATTAGCGAAATACAAGCTATGGTTACCGGACTCGTAGGACAGATACAATGGAAACAATGTTGAATACCGGGCCAAACCTTCCTCTATCCGACACCTGATCAGACACTCATCGCGTGTCAGTCCGACAAAGCATTTACCGGCCGACGATTTGATGAGCCACTCGTGTTTGACCAGAGTTTTGCGAAACCGGACTATACAGACATCACTGTTGTTAGGGTTCAAGTAAATCAACCCTTTTGTGAACACCTGATACAAGTGCTCGTGTCTCGGGTGGGCTTTAAATAGCAGATAATTGTTGCCAATGAACGCCCGGGTTAGGACAATGCCCGCCATAACAGTGCTGCCCCTTCGACTGTTCACCCGGTACTTGTCGGGTGCCATACCGGCTGACCATTGCGAGAATATAGTCACGCAGTAGTTTTGAGTGTCCATCGAGTGCTGGTAAGGGGACAGTACGCGACATTCGGCGCCGACTGGTTGTGTACGATTCTTAACATAGTTAGGCAAAGCGCAACCCCCAAACTTGTCAAACGTGTTTAACATTTCAAATTGCTCACCAATCGACTTGTTATTAAACTTGATCCTATCGAGTGCGCTCGTGTAAGAGCTAGAGTGTCCCAAAAATCCAGAAGTATTCTTTTGAGCATTATTGATCAAGGCAAATTTGTCGAAGCATAGTGTCAACCCCGGCAGTTGTCTCATTGATTTGGACTCATAGGCGACGTTTGTAATGGTCTGGTATGAGAAGTATGTCAAACATATAGTGTATGAGTGGTATAAAAAACCGCACAAACATAATAATCGGAAACTTATTTTTAGTACTCTTTGTATGTGTTTTGTCTCCATTTTGTTCTTTCATTAATTTGTTTTTGCAATATTTCTTATAAAGAAATTTATAAATGATATAAATAAATAAATATTAGCTATAATTTATTTTGATATATGTAAATATTAAAATAATGAATATATCAAGTTAAATTCACAGTATGTAAATGCGTTTTGAATAAAATTTTATTTATTGCGTTATAAGATTTAATTAAAGATTTACACAGGTGTATATAATAAGTGAATATAAAATTATTTCTTAACACGTTTAAAATAATTGTCATAAATAGCCTTTGGTTTAACATTCATGAAAAACACATTACGCTTACGATAATTATTAACAATATTTTTAGTGAAAAACCTTTGAAACACATTAACTTTGGGAAACATTTTTTCACAAAATCTGGTCAACAATAGCAAAGAGAAACCGAACCAAAGGCTGGATATACTGCCCAATAGGCACAGGAACTCTTCAAATGGCATTTTACGGATGACCTCATAGACAGTGGTCGGCTCGGAGGGGAACTCCACCACAATTGTATAATAGGTCAACGGGTCGGGTGTCCTCTCCGTGTTGTACTCAATGGAGTAGAAACGTTGGACACAATCTACCCGTTCATCGCATCTACTTTCGCACAGGTCGTCAAAATCACTAGAATTGATATAATTATCAAAATACAGGCTATGATTATTGGACTCGTAGGACAGATACGACGGGATTAGACGCGAATACCGCGATAACGCTTCGTCGATGTGACACCTGACCCGACACTCATCCCTCGTCTGTCCGGTAAAGCATTTACCGGCCGATAATATAATGAGCGGCTCGTGTTTGACAACAGTTGTGCGGAATCGGAATATAGAGACATCACTGTTGTTGGGGTTGACGTAAATAAACCCTTTGGTGAACGCACTGTATAAGTGCTCGTATCTCGAGTGCGCTTTAAATAGTAGATATTTACCGCCAATGAACGACCGGTTTAACTCAATTACCACCATATAATTGCTGCCTCGTCGACTGTCCACCCGGTACTTGTCCGGTGCCATACCGCCCGACCATTGCGAGAATATGGTCACGCAGTAGTGGTAGGCGTCCATCGAGTGTTGGTAAGGAGCCAAGGCGTGACAGTTAGTACCGGGTGGTTGTGTCCGGTTTTTGCCATAGTTAGGCAAAGTGCAAACCCCAATCTTGTCAAAGCTGTTTACCATTTCGAATTGCTCACCGATCGACTTGTTATTAAACTTGATCCTATCGAATGCGCTGGTGTTAGAGTTATAGTATCCTGAAAATCCAGGTGGATCCTTTTGAGCATTATTGACCAGGGCAAATTTATCGAGGCATAGGGTTAGCCCTGGCAGTTGTCTCATCGATCTGGACTCGTAAGCGACGTTTGTAATGGTCTGGTATGAGAAGTATATTAAACATATGGTGTACGAGTGGTATAGAAATCCGCACAAACATAATAACCGGAAACTTATTTTCAGTACTCTGTGTACGTGTTTTGTCTCCATTTTGTTCTATCAGTAGTTTGTTTTTGTGAAATTTCATATTAAACTACAAAATTATGGTAACTCTGATGTATAGAAAACATTATTGCTAAAATTTATTATGATTTATGTCTGTATTAGGAATAATAAACACATTACCTTAGGTACACAATATGCAAATAATGTACCATGTACCATTTCTTTGTAAATTTCTAACTTGTAAGTAGATATACGTAGATTTGCATATGTAAATTTTGTCACTATTTGGAATGTGTTATATCTATTTTTTATAAATATTCTTGAAATAACTTTTTAATATTTTTTATTTTTTGTACACAAATGTTTATTCTCCTATATTGTAAGGTAAATATCATATGATGTGAATATCATTTGTAAATAAATTTAATTTGCCCTAATCCTTACAGTTTTAATTAAATCTATATATTATGTATGTAATATACTTAATAGTGAATAGTCGTTCTAGTACATTTAATCAATCAGTAAGTCATTTAGGTGTATTTCCATAAATTTAATTAGCTATTATTATAAATGAGTCTATTTATTATTTACAAGATAAATTTAATTCAAACTGTATGTTAATATTGATAGTCTATGTAAGAGTACATACACATCTTGTACATCTTAATACACCATTACTGGTTCACAGAAAAGTTTACTGACACAAACGTTATCGTTCACAAATAGGCATTGAACATTTAATTATTATTGAATTAATTAACATTTATATTTAATGTTCTTTACTAATAGAAATGTTGCACCGTTAAACATTATTTTGATACAAATTGAGTGCATATTTAACCGTATAGTTTGATGTAATCTTATTGGAATAATTTGTTTTAATAATAAATTAAAAGCGAATACATGGTACAAAGATTCATCATTAAAATTAACAACCGTATACATTAAATTTTAAATTCTAATGCTATTAAATATGAATACAATATATTCAGTAATTTATTTTACATAAAAGTATTATATTGTACATAATATAATAATTTTAATATACAAATATATATGTTTAACATACACTGTATGCCATACAGTTTATGTAAATATGATTTATACATCTAATTATTTACTATATATTGTCTTTTTGCCCGAATGTATTAAATGTAATAAATTTGCACTCAATTTGATCATACTATTTAATGTTAAACGTGACAGTAAAAAGTTTATAAGTTGATCCGAGAATGAGCTCTTATATAAGAAAATGTGGACATTATTCACTGGGAGATAATTATTTGGGCGATCACAACAGTAATCTAACGCTTATTATTATTGCAATAAATAAGGTAGAAATCTAGATATTTTAATAATTTATATAATTATTTGAATTGTTTTAATAGGAAATATGTCTATTTGAAGAGAGACTCATCCAATCGTTATCGAGTGGTGTTTTCGCCAAATTTAATATAACTCTCAAAGTGTTTAATGAATATATTGGCGCTCATCAATATATGACAAATAATCCGGTATATAATTAAATTAATACAGTAATATACAATAGTTGTATGCATTTACACTTTGATATGCAAACATGAATTGTTTAATTATTAATAATAATATACATTTTTAATTGTTTATGTTTATAAAGCAAACAGAT